TATACATATATACATATATATAATTAATATTTAAATACATATATATGTATATAGATATTAACAAATTGTTGTTACATTAATATGTATTATTAATATTTTAAATACTCTAAAAATTGTCTAAAGCTTATAATGTATTTTATTAATGTATTATTAATATTTAATTTATAATAAATTATATAGCGCAGTTCTTGGCACACAAGGTTTCTATATATTCTTATTTATTTTATTAAAAACTTTTCTAAATTGTGAATTCCAAAATCTTATATGTCATAAGAGATGCACTACCTTCAGTGCCTTGATTTTGGCGTTGTTTAATAGAAGATTATTAGATTTTGCCAAAAATCTGATGGCTTCGATTTTCTCGTTCATCTTATTGATGCACTTATTTATTTTATTTAGAGGACAGATAGATTAGGAGATCGTCTGCTTAATAACTGTATTTGCACTGGCTAATTATCTCATTGAAACCATTTAAAGGCAGAATAATAGCGGACCCAGTATAAATTCCTGTGGAACATCATGCTCTGAATATTTCCAGAAGAAAATTCGTATCAATGTCATGAACGGCTTGTTTCCTTCTCTTAAAGTATTTGCTAAACCACTAAATGACAGATTTGGGGAATTTGAGTTTTTTTTAATTTACATAGAATGGTTTATTTTATTACATAGAAGGTTGTCATGGCATATCCAATCAAATACTTTGGAGAAATCAAAGAGAACAGAGCAACTGTCACCATTCTCTTATCAATGGCCCACCTCATGTCGTCCGTAACACGAAGAATAGCAATCTATGTGCTAAAATTTTTGCAATAGGCTGACTAATAATATAAAACCCGCATAGATGCGGATTTTAATAAGAATACATGTGCGCGCGCATGTATATAAATATAGTAAAAACTTTGAAGATAAAAATAAAAGATCAAATGTTTGTTTATTGTTGTTTGCATATTTCTTTGAAATTAATTTCAATTTACGTTAAATCTATAAATAACGCTCATCGATGATTATGTGCTAAAGTCTGACAGTATTATTAGGATGTCTTTTAATGATTAATAACCTTAGAACTGTTGACCTAATATTACATATTTATTATGATATCGTGTATTGAGCGTCGTCAGTTATTGGTGACCTTTTGAAATGATAAGATCGTAATTGTTTTGGTATATACTTCCAATATCATACGGATAGCGAGACGACACAAGATAGAGAGATTGGTTGTAGCTAATTTTTACAAAGCAGTATAGTTGCATAATACAACTTGTTGTATACGATCTCAATATACAAAGTGAGTTATATAAAATATATATGTATATGTCTGCTTTAAATATATAAAAAATGCGAGCACAAAAATATAAAACGCATTCGAATTGCTCTTAAATATAAACATGAATCAAATGTATATCATAATATTTTTTTAATCTTGAATATTTCTTTGTCGTTCGTTAATTATTCGATGTGAAAATTATATTCTATACATTTTATGATACAAATCTATGGCATACGCGATCTTTAAGATAAAGTAAAGCTGAACTGTGTAGTAACAACACGGGGAGACATAAACCAAATTGTTAAAAATGATGTATATCTAATAGATGCAAAGGCGGTAATTGTTTTCAAGTTTTTATTCTCTCGATCCGATTTACTTAACACAACATATTTAAAAAATTTTGTAAATATAATTTTGGTCTTATCAAATAAGTAACGATCGAATAGATAAGTACAACACATAATAAATAAATAGAAGCATCGGTTACATAAGACAAAGTGATATAGGATAAGAATAGACATAGAATAAAGTATATGAAATGTGACTTTCAAAACGCGTTAACAATATAAATTGGCATTTGCTACGAATTCGATGTAATTTTTCCTTAAAAATTAAAATATTACACATATTACGAATTATTTCAAAATATAATATTTAATATAATTAATAATCCATTTAATCTTTATTTATAAAATTAAGTATTTTAAAACTCCAATCGCATATTAATGAGAACATGTTTAAAAATATTATCTCAACTAGAGAGGTTGATTGAATCGTAAAATAAAATTTAATTAATTAATTATTATTCATTGAAGAATGTAATACAATATCGCAATTACAAAGATTTGCAATAAAGTAATTGTAAGTACACAACTCGATATATTGCAGGTTCCTTGAACCATGTTCATAAGTAATATGTTATGGTTTGTACAAATATGATAATATATGATTCTAATTACAATAATCTATTTATAAAATTTATTTACAGAAAAAGGAAATCATACATCTTATAAATTTCTTAACATATGTAAATATCTAAATTTAGGCAAAAAAAAAGTATTTTATGATGTATCCCAGTTTAAATTGTCTTATTGCTAGCTGTAATATTATAGCTATAGGTATCTCATCATATGCAGTTCGGATAAAAAATATATTAATAAATATGATAGATCTAAAAAATAAAATAAAAAATATATGTTTGTTTGTTAAAATTATTTAAATTATATTAAACACATATCTTGATTTTTACAATCAAAAGAAATATTTCAGCATATTAATTTATGTGTAACACATTTTTTTATAGTTTAAAATATAAAACTTATTATTTGAAATATAAAGAATTCAGTAAATTGTGTAAAAGAAGTAAGACGTATTTCAAAATCATTAATCGTAAATGAAGCAAATAAATGATAAAATTGAATAAATAAATAAAAAAACAAATTATTTTATATTTTTTAAGACAAATATATTTAAAAATAAATGTGTATGTATGGAGGAGGCGGGGATTTGTATGTGTGTGTAATTACATTGATATAATTATTACTTAGATGGTTTACATCTTTATGTAATTTTTTATATGTTTCTTTGAAAAAATCAATCACTTTATCTCTGAATATACTATAATTTATTGTATTTCTTATATAAGAAATTATAAGTTTTCAATCTTAAGTTACCAGTGACAGCATTTACATTATATTTTGTACCTTTTTGCATGTTTAAAAATACATTTGATTACTGTATTTTACTATCCTGTAATTATTTCAAGAATTATGAGCGTAAGATAAAGATAGAACAGATAATTGTTACAAACAAATTATGTTATAAATAATTAATACGTTATTCTTTATCATAACAATTTATGTTATTTAATTTATTTTAATATCACACAGAGCTGTTATTATAATATATCATGCAATATTAATTTTACATTGTTAATTTCTGTGTTTAAAATTATCTGTCCAAAAGCTTGTTAATAATATCCGTAAGTTTAAAGATATATATATATATATATATCTAGAGTAAAGTCATTTTTAGATCAGTACAACATTTTAAGCTCAAGAATAAACGATATATTTGTAATATTATTTTATTAAAATAACATGTATTTTATAGCGTATTATGTAGTAAAATATGTGGTAAAAATTTATCAATTTTTTTTAATGTGTGTGAATAGATCTTTTAATAAATGTGGATTTAATATTTCTTTATGTTGTATTTATTTTTTTATTTTTATATAAAATAAAACGATATAGAGGGAGTACTGCGCAACGTTTAATTTCTCTTTTTTTTATTTATTTTGTAATTTTGTATTTAGTTACTGGAAATGGTCCAATATTGAGATCGAAACATCTAATAAATGCAATTATGAAGAATAACATAATTTTGGCGCCCCTTATCTAGTGCGGTGACTCTCATTTACCCGTTTTATTTATTTATGGATATTTATTATTATTATTATTATTATTATTATAGATCATGATATATTAAGTTATCTTTAATTTCTTTGTCTGTTTATTTCTTAAAAAAAAATTTTTTTTGCAGACACCTAAGGCAAATATTAAGAGAGAAATATGATATTTTTAAAATTATTATTAAGTAGCGGTTTAATATTTTTTGCTGCGGCGGCTCCTTTGACCAACAAACAGTCATTTATATTACTGGATTATATAAAACCAGAGCATTACAACATCAAGCTTATACCATATGATGAAGATACTTTCTATGGCGAATGCAACGTCAGCATTAATATTCTTCAACCCACACATACCATAAATTTACATTTAGATGTACAATGTATACTGGATATAGAGTTAACTGATAATCCACCAAGATTTCAGCAATCTGATGACAAAAAAATGGTCATTTATAAACCAATACAATATTTACGTGATAGTAAGACGCAGATTGCTGAGTTTTCCTTCAAGAATGAGATAGCATCGGGGCGTTATACCTTGAATATGAAATTTATCGGTATTATAGCTGATAATGAAGGTTTTAGAACTTTTTCTTTTATAAAAAGTAAATTGGTCCGTGTTATGGCTGATAAAAAAAGCAACGAAACTTTAATTTTAATGGAAAGTGAAGATAACAATAGAGGGTGAGTAATTGATAAATGCATGTTATATGAAATACATTATTAAATATCTAATTCATTGTAATTATATATATAAATAACCAAAAATATTATTAAATATTATACATATTATACAATATATAATAAAAAAAAAAAGAAAAATGATTTATCGTGACTAACAGTAAAAATGTTGTATAGTGATAAGTAATAACAAATTGAGTTTAAATTATTATTTAAATATAATGTTTATACATTTTCTGGTGTTCAATATTTCTATGTTGGCAAAAACACAAGAATTTATCGTTATGTTATTCATGATTTTTAAATTATAATAGGTGGATAGCTGCAACACATTATCAGATAGATGGTGCCCGGCATTTGTTTCCATGTTGGGACAAACCGGAATTAAAAGCGACCTTTGATATTTCTATAATACATCCTCTTGGTTACACGGCTTTTTCAAATATGCCAACACGACAAATAAAAGTACTTCAAAATAATATGATATCGATAAACTACGATACTACTCCTGCAATGTCTACTTCTGTCATCGCGGCAGTTATAGTTAATCGTGCAGAATTATTAATTCGTAATGCGCTTGGAACTGTGGCCAATATGTTAAACAGAAAGATCATTTCATATCTCCTGTATCATGCACAAAATATTGTGGAAGAAGTTACGGAGCATTTGAAAAGCGAATGGAGAAGATCACAGAAAATGTCTCGGCAAATAGATCATATAGTAATTCAACATTTCGATGATAAAAACATGATAACTTCAGGGATTGTTTTATATAGGTAGATATATATGTAAAATATCTTTATTTATTATATTTAAAAGTAACTAAATTTTATATACATATACAGGGTGCGGCATTTATAGTGACGCGGGCATATAGTGCGTCACTATAA